CCCCGCCTCCCGCTCCTCCCCGATGCCCTTCTTAGTGCGGGCACATATTATTTCTTGCCTGAGCTTCGCCTGAGCTTGCAAACTGGTTTCTCTGCCTCTGGTGCCACCCCTGCTTCCCCTGCCACTCCCAGTCTTTCATCCAACACACCGGTCACACCAGAACGACCTGCATTTCCCCATGTTCTCTCTTCTCCACATCTTCACGTCCCTGTGCCTGGCACACGCTACCTTCTCCCTCTTCATCTTGTACATTTCTACTTTCCCTTTAAAACTCAGACATCACCTCCTCCAGCAAGTTCTTTCTGATTCCCTCCTACCCAGCCTCAGATTCCCCACCTTTATACTCGTGTCCAAATAGCCTATAGTCCTTAAGCATTTTTTTAAACGATGAAGTTCCTTTTTTTTTTTTTTTAATCTCAAACTGAGCGCAAGTGGGTAAGGTTACATTCTCACAAGAACTACAGGAAGTGGATTTTGCGTGGTTGTAAACAAACGAGTCTCTGTGTCCGCCATTCAGAACTGTGGTCCATACCCAAGTGACCCGGTGGCTTCTGCCGTCCGCCACCTCTGCAGGGCCAGATCCCTCCCTCGGCCAAACCTCCTCCACAGCCCAGGCAAACGAGGTGCTTTTCTTATATTGGTCTTTGGCCACTTTTTAGGGGGGCAGGATGACCAACCGGATAAAAATACAGCATTTCTAGGCGGGCAACCCCTCCTGTCTCTGTCTCCTCATCTGTTTACAGCTGCCTGTGGGCTGTGCCTCAGAGAGAGCAGGACACGACTTAGAAGTTTACACAGACCTGTTTCCTTATTTGTAAGATGATAAGCAGATGATCTCAAAGGATGCTGTTCCCACTACAATGTCCTCTGGACTCGTCCCGTCCTGAACTGGCACTCCTTGTGAATTCCCCCATTTCTGACAACAAACTACCAAGGGCCTCGCCAGCAGTCCCGTGCTGCGCGTGTGGGTACGCCCTCTGCGGCTCACTGTCCGGCTCTGACGGTGCCTGCGGGATGGGTAAGGGTGGTCGGCAGGGTCTCCATGTGCCCAGAGGCAGTAATTCACTGGAGGTCTTCCACACGGGCTGTTTCCCCAAACCTGAACGTATCACACCACCTTTTATTTTTATTTCTTTAAAGCTTCAAAGAGTGCCTTTAATTCTAGTATTGCCAGATTCAGAGAACAAGTCCATATGAATTCCATCCATCCATTCAAAACCCCTGGTCTCCATACCAGGCGAAAACTATGCTCTCAGTGTTTGGGTGTTTGGTTACCTTATTGGCCAAAACTGCTTATTTGGTAAAAATCACCATAAACCTTGAACACTACACTTCTTTTGCTATGCTATAAAACCTCTTTATGCTTTTATTATTTATGGGTTTTTTTTAAAGATATATTTTCATTGATTTCAGAGAGGAAGGGTGTGGGAAGGATAGAAACATCAATGATGAGAGAGAATCATTGACTGGCTGCCTCCTGACGGCCCCCTATTGGGGATCAAGCCCGCAACCCGGGCATGTGCCCTTGACCGGAATTGAACCCGGAACCCTTCAGTCCACAGGCGGATACTCTATCCACTGAGCCAAACCGGCTAGGGCTCTCTATGCTTTTATAAAGTTGTTTCTATAGTACTTATCGACCACTCATTGTGAGCACTTCATGGCGCCTCTACATTTCACTGCCACGTCGGTGGGACTTCTTCCTGATCTAATACACCGGAACTTATCCATATGCAGCCTGCACCCTCCTACCTGTCCCTGCTGAGGGGGAGCTTCTGAAACAGAAGATGGTTTCCACCTGACATGACTCCCCTCGTTCACAGACAGTTCTGCCAGAACCGGCTGACGGAAGGCCCTGTCCAGACGTTGCTGGAAAGCAGGGTGGCTTTCCCTGACACGAGCCTCAGCACCTCCCGAAACTGTCACCACGTGGTCCCTTCTCCTCCGGCCTCTTCCTTCCTCCTGCCACCGTGAGTGGGGACTCATGTCTCAGCTAAACCATCTCAGTCACGGTATGACTCGGGGTCAGAGGCCAGTTGCCTGGGTGCCAATCTCACTTCCGCCATTCGCTAGCTTCCCGGCCTGGGTAAATGACCCATCGCCATGGAGATGGGACTACAGTACGAACCGTCCCCACCGAATACACTAGTACGTGTTAGGAGCCGTGAGTGAGCTGGCGACTGTTAGGCACGTGGCACCGTTCCTAGTACACAGCAAGGTTTCATTATTATTGCTATTCTCTATTTTTTTTTTTTTTAACTTAGGTGAGGTGATCATGTACATACTATTTGTGCCTGCTGTGTTCACTGAACACTCTCCCATAGTTTAACATTTGACAGCACAGCTGGTCAAGTTGGTCCTAATTCTGTGCAGCATCAAGACACGCCTGCAGATGATGGGCGGTTCGAATCTCCGCCCCCTCTCTCTGCCCTGCGCCCCGTCCTCCTCGTCCTCCTCCTCTGCCAGGGCAGCAGCTGTCCGTGTGGCCAGCGCCGGATTCTCTGGTGCTGACAGCCTGCACTCTGCTCACTCGCTTCAAAGCTGCCGCGGGCTGGCGGTGGGGGTGGGGTGGGGGTGTCTGGTCCCAGGGGTGCAGGGGAACGCTGAGGGGTCAGGTCCGCCCTGGGGACCCTGCTCTCACATCCCATAGCTGGCCCCTTGCTGTCCTCAGACTGTGCTCCTGCATTCCTCAGCCTGGGGCCCCCTTCTTGCCTCTCCCCATCTGTGTTCACTGCATTTTGCAAGACCCAACGCTGAAGGAGACTTTGTTCAATAAAACATCACCCTCCATAACGATACCCCGCCCGGTGCTTCCAGACGCTCACGGTCCAGCTGCTGCCACAGGCCGGCCTGGCCCCTGCGGACACCTGCTGAGCAGGCGGCGGCACGTTTCCCGTCCCTTCAGACAAGCCACGGGCCCTTCGGCGGCGAGCTATTTCCCTGGGTTTGCATTCCTGTCAGTGGCTCGCACAGAGCTAGATCGTCAATGCGGACGGATGCATCGTGCATGATCCCTTTAGGCTACGTGTGCCTTTACTTCTCTCTCCTGCCTATCGCACTCGGCAGGCTCGACGGCCCCGAACGCTGTCAGAGCACATGCCCTGCGCCAGACTCGGTCCCAGCGCTTCACGTACTAATTTATTCCTCACAGCAGCCCTGGAAAGGGATTACTCTCATTTTAAAAAATATATATTTTATTGATTTTCCACAGAGAGGAAGGGAGAGAGATAGAGAGCTAGAAAAGTCGATGAGAGAGAAACATTGACCAGCTGCTTCCTGCACTCTCCCAACTGGGAATGTGTCCATAACCAAGGTACATGCCCTTGACCGGAATCGAACCTGGGACCTTTGGCTCAGTGGATAGAGTGTCAGACTGACACTCTATCCACTGAGCCAAACCGGTTTCGGCAAAAGGGGCTATTCTCGTCACTTTCATTTCATACATGAAGAAGGGACGACATTAGAATTTGTATTTTTTAAAAAGCTAGTCTGGTCAAACACAATGACCAAATAACTGAATCCAACGATGAAAATATCTATGAAGGACCAACAGTGTCTGCGTGCTGGGTGAGGATGGGGGGAACCCCTGGGCCCAGCGGCGGGGACAGGCCCCTCCGCACACGGCGAGGGCAGAGGGACCACGTCCTGTGGTCAGAACCAGCCGCTCCCAAACACCGGGGAACGAGGGGCCCCCAAGGTCACGTCCTCATCCGTCAGATCCAGGCTCAGCCCTCGGTGGGGACAATCTGGGGCCTGTCTGCGGGCGTCCGGCAGGGCCCTGCACATCTGTCTCCTCCCAGAGAAGCCCGGGGTCTGCTCTCTCTTTGCTCCCCAAGGGAGGCCTTGTCACTGATCTCTCTGCCCCGCACCCCAGCGCCTCCTCATGGACAAGAACCCAACACGCTCCTCACCAGCACCAACGTGATTTCTGGTCGTCATCTGAGACACACGCTATCGTCTAGGGGACACACCACAAACACCAGAGACCTGGAAGCTAACGTGGACCTGAGCCAGTGTGTCAGTGCCCCCAGCACCCCCCTCCCCGCCCACCCCCAACGGCCCTCACAGGCCGGGGACTGCTTTTAGGCTGGAAGGCAAGACACACACCAAGCCCTCAGGGCTCTCACACACACCACAGCTTCAGCCACCACCTGGACGCTCACCACACCCCAACCCCCAGCCCAGCTTCCCGCGCCTCAGCCCCTTCCAACTCAGCTCCCCCAAACAGAACCCATCGCCCCACCTCCAGCCTGTGTTCTCAGTGAGCACCACCCAGGCGGAGGCCTGGGGTTGCCCTCATCCCCACACTCCCTCCTCCTCAGAGGCCCTCCAACCCATTTACTCCTTCAGTCCAGACTCTATGATTTCTGGCCCGGCTCCAGACACCCTCCTGACAGGTCCCCGCACCAATCCTTCCTCTCAGGCCCAGGCCAGCATAGTCTTGCAGAAGCAGACGGTCATTACCTGCTTTAAAACCCTCAGAAGCTCACCAGGACCTCTGCAATCAAGTCCAACACCCAACCGTGGCTCACTGGGCCTGCAAGATCTGGCCCCTGCCTGCCTCTCCAGCTGCCTTTCGTTTGTCCCACACACACCCTTCCCTGTTTGCTCCTCCCAGAGTGAGAACCGTCCCCCACACACCCTTCCCTGTTTGCTCCTCCCAGAGTGAGAACCGCCCACATCAGCCCCAACACCCCCAGGCACCAAGCTCAGGCTCCGGAATAAGCACCACCTCCCGTGGTGCCTTGACCTCAGTCTGCGAGACAAACCATCTGTGCCTACCTCTACGGACACAAACATGCCCCGAACCACAAAGCATCAGCATTAGCCTCCTCCGACGTCTCTTCCCCTGGCCTGTGAGCTCACTTCCGTGTCCCCGGGCCCCAGCGGGGGTGGCTGGCCCACAGGAAGTGTTTGCCCGTGAAAGACAGAGCCCCCGGAGCCCACCACGCCCGCCCGGGCCACAGCCCCCTGCCCTCCCGACGCCCGGGAGCAATTACCGACACAGTCGCAGGTGGGGAACTCGGCCTGGGCTCTCTTGGCGGGCGTGTCCAGCAGACTTTTGGTCGGCGTGTCCAGGTACTTCAGCGGCGACTCCAGGAAGCCGCTGAGGGTGGGGGTGAGTGGGTCCTCGGCCTTGGTGGGCGTGGCCTCCTGGCCCCCCTCCTCCGAGTGGAAGCAGGTGGTGGACAGCACGGTCACCGCGCCCGAAGACTCGATCTTGATTTGCTTGGGGGAGCGGGTGGCCAAGGGGCTCTCGGGGGCCGGGAGGCAGGCGGGCTGGTTCTCGGGGTCCTGAATGGGCACGTTCGGGGGGCCGGGAAGCCCAAAGCTATCCCCAAATTCGGCTTCGAACTGCCGGATGAGCTCTTCCAGCTTGTCGTCGGCGGGGGGCAGGGGGCCGGCAGAGCCTGGCTGCAGGGTTGCCATGGGGCTGGGGGACCTCATTTCCTGAGAAGGGGGCAGCAGGCTGTCCCCGGAGGGACTAGGTGCAAATAGCGCAAGAGAAGGTTCTGGGGGCAGGGGCACAGCGGAGCCCTGGGGGGCGGGGGCGGGCGCCTGGGCATCCTCGGGGGCCGCGGGGGGCCGCAGCCCCTCCAGGACGATCTGCCGCAGGGGCGGGAAGAGCGGCTGTGCCTCCCGCGGCCGGGACCGCTTGATCTGAACGGGCTTCCGGGCGCCGGGCTTCCCCCCCGGGGCGGCCTTCTCGGTCCCCGGGGGGCCGCCCGCGGGCGCCGGCGGCTTCTTCTTCTTCTCCTTGGGCGGCCTGTCCGGAGGCCGGGGGGCCAGCGAGCCGGACGGCGCCCACCAGCTGGGGGCGGGGGGCTCCGGGGCGGCGGGGCAGGCGGCGCCCTGGGCCTGGTCCAGGAAGAGGCTGCGCTTGTGGTGCAGGTGCTGCTGCAGGGCGGCCTGGGCCTTCTGGTGGGCGCTGGGCTCCGGGGGCGGCGCGGGGGCCTCCCTGTGGAGGGCGGGGGCCGGGGCCGGCGAGGAGGAGGAGGAGGAGGAGGAGGAGGAGGAGGAGGAGGAGGAGGGAGCCTCCACCTTGACTTTGGGCTTGATGGGCAGGGCCTCGGGCCGCTTGAATACTGACTGGATGTAATCGCTGGCACTGCCCAGCAGCTGCTCCAGCTCGGCCATGGGGTCGGGGCTGGGGCGCGGCATGGGCCAGGGGCTCCGGGGGGTCGCTGGTGGGGTGTCGGTGCCCCAGGCTTCGGGGAACTCTGTCCTGGGAGCTGCGGGAGGGAAGGCGGGGCTCTCGGGAGCGAAGGGCGGGGGCTCCTCTGGGGGGACCGCGGGCCAGGAGGGGGCCCGGAGGTAGGCCGGGGGCGATCGGAAAGGGGCGGCGGCGGGAGGGGACAGGGCCTCCGGGAGCGGGCAGGGGGCCTGGGCAGCGGAGTGGGAAGGCTGGGGCAGGGCGGAGGAGAGCTGGGTGAGGGCCTCGATGGCGATGGCCGTCTGCAGGCTGATGTTCTTCTCCTTGGCGATGCTCAGGGCGTTCTGGGACAGAGGCAGGCCCTCGGGGGGAGGCATGTGGAGGACCTCAGCACCGAGGAGGGGCCGGGCGCCGGGGGCCGGGAGGCTGGCCTCGCCAGGGGGCAGCGTCCCCGGGAGCCGGGGCCGGTCCTCCCCGCCGCCCTCCACGACCACGGACTTGATCTTGCCCTCCAGCCACTCGAGGTAGTCGGGGCACTCTGGGCCGTCGCAGTTGCAGTTGGGCGGCTTCATGCCGTGCCGCGCGAGGGCCAGCGCCGTCTGCAGCGTGTCCAGGTCCTCGGGGCCGCTCTCGGGCCCGGCCCGGGGTCCCCGGCCGCCGTTCCCGGCCTCGCGGTTCATCTCACGGTTGAAGGTTTCGTAGAGCCGGGTGCTGAGGGCCCCGTAGGAGGACACGGCTTCGGCCACCGCCGAGAAGGCCACCAGGTCGTGCGCATCTTCCAGGCGCGCGGTGTGCGCGGGGCCCGGGGCGGCGCCCCAGGCGGGCTTCTGGTCTGCTCGCCAAGCACCCCCAGCCGCCAGCAGGCTGGGTTCTCTAGCACCATTGACCGGCGCCCCTGAGGCGCTTAGCTGCCCGGAGTCCCCATGGTACGCTGGCCCTGAGTCCATCGGACCTGGAGCAGGTCCATCAACGGGGCTGAGCTCGGAGCCTGTCTGGAGAGAGAGAGAGAGGGAGGGAGGGAGGGAGAAAAGGAAAAAGATGAGCCATCGGATCGGAACAGCTTACGCTGCTTCCCACCACTCAGATGCACACCTGAACCCTGCTTTTCTGGTAAACTCTCTGTCCCCGATACACCCCGAACCCCGGCTCCTCGCCCCGCGTCTCCTTCCCCAGCCAGCTGCACCCGCGGAAAGGGAAGGCGGAGCCTGGAGGGCTCCCGGCACGGAAGTCGGAATGCTGCTCAGGCGTTTTGGAGCCTCAGACCCATCACACTGACAAGGCTCTCCTGAAACGAAGCGTTTATTAAGGACACGCAGAACGGCCTGTATCTCCCAGTGCCCAACGGGACACCAGGACCATGTTGGTTTTATTATTATTACTTTTTTTTTTTTGTCAGAAGAGAAAGAAAGCTAAACGAGCACACCAGGTAACAATGTGCTGTGCGTGCAAAACATGCGTGACATATTTGACTAGATGAACACGCTAAGCCAGGACAGGGGGCCAGCCATAGCTTCTCAGGGGGGAAGGAACACACAGCTCTTTCCTTCAGCCATCACAGTGCTTCCTTAAGCCCAGGCCCAGGCCCAGGCCGGAGGGAAACACCGATGACCCGACCCGGCTTGTGTGTTGCCCCGTGCTGAGCCAGTCCTGTGGATGACGAGCCCATTACTGCCTGGAGGAAGACCCAGGCCCCACCCCAAGCCTAGGAAGCTGATGTCCCCCAAAGCACACAGCGGGGGGGAGGGGCAGGTCCAGGGGGCCCAGCCCAGCAAGGGAAAAGCTAATACACAGATGCAGAACTGAATTTGCAAGATGCATCCCTCCAGAGAAGAAAGCTCTTCTTTATAGTAGAATGCCAATTAAAAAATACACACACACACACACACACACACATATGTATACACATATATATACACACATATATATGTATGGAATGATGGATTTAGCAAGCCTCCAGTGGATGCTGCAACTAGCAGGTGAAAGCTTGATGAGGCACAGGATATATACATGGTCTCAAAACCCTGTCCTCCAAAGTTACTTCATTACAACAGTAACTTTAGGAAATGCTAAATTCCAGTTTCCTGGCCAGCGGAGCCCACAGAGCCACTCCTCACACTTGCTGGCGACCCGGGAGGAAACTGGCATCAGGGGAAGGTGCCAACCGGCGGGAAAAGGGCAAGTGTTCGATTTCAGCTTCCAGGCCAGGAGTGCGGACAGCCCCAGGTGAGAGTCCTGAGCAGGAAATCCGAGAGACGCCACCTCCGCCAAGTTATCATCACAAATTAGCGGCACGCAGCACGTGCCTTTTGATACGCTCTGCGGAGGACAGAACACCAGTCACGCAGAACTCCAGCCAAAGCCTATCGCCCAAATCACGAGGAAACATCAGATTAACTCCAACGGAGGGCTGGCCAGAGAGCACCTGGGCTGTTCTCTTCAGAAACTGCAAAGACAGACACCCCTCTCCCAGCTTCCGGGAGACTAAGGAGGCAGGGCAGCAATGCTCACGGGCGAGACCTCGGACGGGAGGAGGGGGGAAATAGCCACGAGGTACGTCATTGGGACGACTGCTGAAATCTGAATCTGGATACGAAGAACACATACTGTGTCCACCTCCGCCTTCTTGACTGGGACCATCACACCACGGTCTCTGTCCACAGGACACTCACACTGACGGATCTCCAGCTTAATCCCCAATGGTTCACGAAAGAACACAGTCACCTGCCATGTAATGACGGGGCTATGCTCTGAGAAATGTGTCAGTAGGTGATGCTGCCATTGTGCAAACGTTACAGCGTGCGCTTGCACAAACCTAGAGGGTGTACCCAGCGGTCGGCTAACTCATTAGTCAATAGAGCCAAATGTCAACAGTACAACGATCGACATTTCTTTTGAGAGCCAAATTTTTTACACCTAAACTTCTCCTAATGCCGTGGTATTTTGTGGAAGAGCCATACGCAAGGGGCCAAAGAGCTGCATGTGGCTCGAGAGCCTCAGTTTTGCCGACCACGGGTGTAGCCTACTACACAAGTAGGCTATATGGCGTGCCACATTCGCACATGGGGCCCATCGTTAACCGATACGCCACACCATGCATGACCGTATATCCACATGTAAAAATAAGACATGCACAGAGAAAACGACAGAGCCAGTGAGGCAAAATGTAAAAAAGGTGGGTCTGTGGGGGGTCCCCGGTACTCTTCCTTACCTTTTTTAAAGCTTTAAAGTTCTACCAAAACAAACAGTTGCGTGGTGACGGTGACTGTGGACAGGGGGGCGGGAGAGAGCTGGAGGAAGAGGGTGGGGCCGGTGTCGGCCCTTCCAGATTCCCAGCTCAGACCGGCCCACCCAGGGCGGGACCCCTCCACGGCTCCCGCCTCCACTGCCACGCCCCCTGGGCTCAGCAGCCACCGCTCCGGGGATGCGCCCGCCATCCGCCCTTTGTCTGACCCTCTCAGCTGACCTCCATGAACTCCAGCCCCTGGAACGGGAGGCAGCTCGTCCACAATGGAACTGAAAGCCCCCGCCCCGCCTCCCACAGCTCCCGCTCCGGCCCTCCTATTGCTGCCAGTGTCCCCGCACTCACCCAGGCCCCGGCCCGAGCATCATTCAGACTCTCCCAGCACACTGGGCACCAGACCCAAACAGCTCTGCACACGGCTGCCTCTACCCCTCCCCTCCCTCTCTGCTCCTGCTCTCCTAGTTTGGGCCTTGGTATGTATGCACATTTTAATTTTTTATTTTTTGTATGCACATTTTAAAATTTCCAACCAGACAGTGGCTTCTTTAAGCAGCTCTACATACCCTTCCCCCTTCCGCCACCACAAATAAGCGTGTGTCTACACACACACACACACACACACACACACACACACAGTCTTTTCTCCTGCAATCTATTGTTGGTCATATCTCGCCCTCCCTCCACACCCCCAGCCACCAATTTCACAACTCTTCCCTCCACAGCCCTCACACTTTAGAACTGCCGTTTGCACGCACCCGGTGCTTAGCGTGTGTGACCGGTCTTATTTTCCAAAGACGGCCACTGCAATCCCTCTGTCCCACAAGCATCTCTCCCTCCGAGGGCACCCAGGCGGGCTTGTGACAATGGCGGGAGTGGCACCACATGGCTTGTAACGCTGGACCACACAAGGCCAGGCAGCGGCAGCCTCGTCTCCTGGAGCTCTTACTCCCGGAGCCCAGCCCCCGGGGGGGCGAGGAAACCCAGGCCACAGGGAAAGGCCGGCTGGCGATCCCAGCCGGGGTCCCCGCCAGCAGCTGGCATCGCCTGTCCAACGCGCGAGCGAAGAAGCCCTTGGAGGACTCCCGTCCAGCCTGCGCGCTGCCACCAGCTCCGGCGCCTTCCCAGCTGACGCCTCAAACGTCGAGCAACACAGACCAGCTGCCCGCGCTGCCTCCTTTCTGATTCCGGATCGGCAGACCCTGAGAGCGCAGCGCAATGACTGCTGCTTTTTGCCACCAGAGAGTTTGGGGAGGCTTCTTACTGAACAACAGACGAGGCCGATTGTTTTAGGAACTTGAAGAAGTGCATAAGGTGAAAGGCAAAAAGCAGCCCTATCAACGAACACTCACCCCTAAAGCATATCAGTGCAGTGAAAACGGTCTCTACAAGGGTGATGGGGGGGGAGGGGCGGGGGGGGTTATTGGGGGGAGGAGTGTCAGGTGAGCGTGTGTGTCAGGAAAGAGTTCACCTCGAAGTAACCTTCACAACGAGGCTGAGAAGATGGGCAGGTGCTCTGGAGGGAGGGAGGGAGGAGGGATTCCAGGTGGGGGTCTGAGAGAGAGAGTTGCAAAGGCACAGAATCCTCAGGCCTGGCGGCCTGGGGAAGGGCAGGCTGCTGGGCATCTGGGGAGCACTCGTGTGGGGAGGGCAGGTGTGTGGCTCACAGCGTGAACACAATAGAGCGATTTACATTTCAGGAGGGGCACGCAAGTGTCCCCGCGGAGCAAGGACCGTGGAGTTGAAGGGTGGTGGCCTGAGGCCATTTGGGTGAGGAACACAGCTCTCCAGGCCAGTGATAACAGGGCCTGGATTACGGCCACAGCCGGGGTGAAGTGCAGTCTGCAGAGAGATGAGCAAATGTAGAGGGTGAGGCCAGGAACAGAATCACCGCCTGCTGACAAAGCCCCCTTGGACAGTGCTGCCCACCACGGGTCTGAGCCCGAGCCTGCATCCAGCTCCCTCACGTCGGGGATCCCTTCCTTGGAGCACGTGGCCAGCTACACCGGGAGCGCCTGAGGGACCAGGCTTCCCTCACACTCAGAAGCTCACGAGGGCTCCGTGTGTGCTTCTTCCTCCCGACCCTGGCTGGCCGGCCTCTGCACCGCGGCCCTGGAGAGGACGGCCACAGAGCTCTGGGCGGAGTTAGCGGCCCTCTGTCACTGTGCAGGCATCCAAGTCTGAAATGGCCAATGCATCCGGAATCTTTGCCACAAGGGACTCAGGAACCTGACAACTGACCTTGGAACAGCCCGCCCGCCACCCGCAGAGGCTGACCAAACCAGGGTGTCGGCCCTGCCCGCCCTGAGCCCTGCCCACGGGACCCCCGGAGGGCTCTGGCCTGGCCCAGGCTTGGTCTTGCCCCAGATGAGGCAAGAAACAGAATCAACCCCCTGCTGACAAAGCCCCCTTGACCAGTGTTGTCCACCACAGGGTCTGAGCCCGAGCCTGCAGCCAGCACCCCTCCTGTCAGGGATTCCTTCCTTAGAGTGCATGGCCAGCTGGAAACAGAAGGAGTCTGTAGCTGGAAGACGAGCAGAGTACATGCTCTCTTCAGACCCCGGAGCCCCGACCCTCAGCCTATTCGAGACGGGTGGACAGGTGCCCACAGCATCGCCAACCCCAGCCCCAGGTTTCCCGGGGGTCCAGGAACCTCTGTTGGAATCTGGCCCTGTACCCTGCCTGGTCAGGACTCTACAGCCAACTCCTTTCTTCCGCTCCTACATCCCCACGCTGGCCCCAGACGCCTGCAGG